TACCAGGGGGGAGGGAAAATGGGAAAATTTGATGCTTAGGAAGAAAGAGGGGTGAGGAGAAGACATTTGCACATCCACTAACCGCCGCTCACCTCTCTACGCGCTCCCACAACCAAGACTGCCCCTCTACTATCCCGTCTTCCCACCAGTTAGGCCGTACAGCCACTGCGGTCTGGGTAACGTTACCCTGCTCCCCTGGCAGGCTTCCAAACGATCCCGTTGAGCGACGCCACGAAACACCGATGTCAGAGATGGCAGAGGCCTTCCCAAGCACCAACGACCACCAGCCGAGTCGAGCCGAGCCAACCGAGTTGTAGTTGTTGCCCAACAAAACAGCGCTGCCGTTCAAAGTACTGCTGAAATCAATTGATCCACCGGTTGCATTCAAGGACACCCGGACAACGCTTCTTTGCAGTGCTTGCGAAGAATCGACAATTATCAAAACTCGGCTCGCCTCGGCTGGCGGACGGAAGTATTCGTGAAGCGTCTAGCACTTCTGCCAAAGCTATTTCACGACGTCGTTGTTCCGGGGCGTTTGGCAATTTGACAGACGCGTTGGGTGGCGCTAGTCAATGTTTGGCAGCTGGATTTCGTGGTTCCGGGTTGTAGGTTGGGACAATTACAAAAACTCGGCACAGCTCGGCTTGGCTCGTCCCATGCACAGGCAATTGCAAAAGCCCGGCCCGGCTCGGCTGATGATCTATGGTGCTTTAGCCTTCCAGCGCTTTGTTCTATCATCTCTGTCAACACTATTTCGCGGTGCCGCTCGCTGGAACTTTACTAGACGCGCTGGGTAGCGTTTCCCAGTGCCTGGCGCTTGAATCACGTGGGTGGGGATGACGAGTGGGACGACTGGACGTGGTTGGTAGTTGCCTAGATACAGCTCAAATAGCACGACTGAAACCAGGATAACGGGGCAGAATGAAGTTGACAGGATTTACTGAAACTTATGCTTAGCTGAAGCTGACGGCAAATAAGTCCAACCGGATTTACTGAAGCTTATGCTTAGGTGAAGCTGAGGGCAAATAAATTCGACAGGATTTACTGAAACTTATGCTTAGGTGAAGTTGAGGGCAAATAAGTCCATTTAGATTACACAAAAATTGCAGACAAGTTCAAAGTGTTGCCTCTTACAATCTGCAGTTGTGCACAACAGTTACACCTTTGTTTTTTTTTGTCTTCAAAATCTCGCAGGGCAAAGGCTGACTTCATTCTCAGGCATCAGTTCTACCATGTTCTTGCCCGCTTCATGGGACTTATTCGCTCTCAGCTTTACCTAAGCATCAGTTTCATAAATAGGAAAGTCTGATGACGGGTTTT